ACGGCGAATATCGCATTCGATGGAACGATGAGCTGTATGAGATATATGACGACATTGACATAGTTCAGCGAATTAAAAGACTGCGGCTAGACTGGCTAGGTTATGTTGTCCGAATGGACAAAAATACTCCATCTCTGAAAGTATTCGACGCTGTACCTGCCGGGGGAACCAAAGGAAGGGGAAGACCTCCACTCCGTTCGAAGGATCAGGTGGAGAAGGACCTGGCTTCGTTTGGAATATCCAAGTGGCGCCACGTAGCGAGAAGAAGATATCGGCTATAATCGCGTAAGCGGTGTCTACGCCAGTAAAGAAGAAGAAAAGCGCGACCGATTTCAAATTCGTTTTATAACATTTTTCTGACATTCCTATGTTACAGATTTTAAATTTTTATCGATTCGTTTACGTCCCTTGCCTTGAAAATGTAACACATTAAAGCTAATGATAGTCAACTTTTCATATCTCAATGTATGAAAACATCTCAACGAAAAGTTGTAGYTGTATCCATATTTTACAAAATTTGGTAGATATTTGCAAATTACTTTTTTATGATATTAATATTTAGTTTCAGATGTTGATGAAGTTGACGACGAATACAAATATGGGAATACCTGATAATATAGTCATAAGCCACTTACCAAACGGCCCTACCGCGGTTTTTAATATTTCTAGTGTTGTTATGAGACATGATGTACCTTTTATTGAAAAAATGAGCGAACAAAGTCCCCACTTAATCTTTCACAATTTTAAAACCAAAATTGGGCAGCGAGCAGTAAATATATTAAAACATCTTTTCCCTACTCCGAAAGGGGATTCCAAAAGGGTAATAATTTTTGCTAATCATGATGACTTTGTATCATTTCGTCATCATTTATATAAGCACGAAAATAAAGAGATGGAATTAATAGAAATTGGCCCTAGATTTCAACTAAAGTTGTACCAAATAAAATTGGGAATATTAGATGAAATTCAAGCTTCGGATACTGAATGGATTTTGAGATCTTACATGAACAGTTTTATCGTTAGAGTAGAGTAGAGTTTTATCGTTAGAAAATGGTTGGAATCAGAATGAGTTTTAAATTTTTRAAATATATGTATACATTTTAATAATGGAATTTAATGAAATTGTCAAATATTTGGAAGAAAAGTTTTATATTATGAACACAAGATACTGGTTATTTGGTTATAAATTTATGTAACACTAGAAAATATCTAAATAAAAATCCATAAAATATATATTTATATATGACTAACTTATGAATATTAAAATATGATTCTATGGCAACTATTAATATTTTTGTATTGGTATGGCGGTGTCGTTAACATTGATATGGATTGGTATGGTACCCATATATAATCTTTTCATTATGTCATTCGACGGTGTTTTTGCTGTAACGGTTATATAATCTTCGCGCGAATGGCAAGGTTCGGTTTGGCGCTCATCGAAATGATCTAACGGTACGSGGTCGGATCGTAGGAAGAAGAGTGTCAGATGATTAGGGTTGCTGGACATACAAAGTGAGCATGTTGGACATGTATTTCCCGGCCAATTCTTGATAAGAAGGAGTTTAACTGATCAGACTGGGAGTCGTTTTAGCGGGTACCTAGTCCCCGTTAGGATGGCAAGGATTAGCTAAAATCATGGAAGTCATGCTCCCTGGCACCGTAGAGGTCCTATGTTGCACACTCGACTAGATTGACAGCGCCATGCTCGAACTGGGAGCAATTTACACTGCCGTAGAGGCTTATATCACAGTAGTGCCACATAACTTCTGATTCACTCCCTGTGTGCCCTCAGTAAGTCTTAAAATGGCGCCATCCACTACATGTGTTGCATCTAACCAAGGTTAAGTTTGGATGGAGTCTATTATCGCAAACGCAGCATAAAAATTCCCCGAGTTGAATTAAATTACACCATGATGTTGCTAAATTCGYAATAGTGGTGACAATATTTACCCAATGTCTTCTCCACCCGGTATTTTGAACGGAGCGGATGTCTTCCACTGATTCCCCCGACGCGTACTGTGACGACTACTTTCAGAGCTGGACTGTTTTCATCCATTCGGACGAAATGACCTAGCCAGCGTATAAAAGTTAATTCGCTGAACTATGTCAATGTCGTCGTACTCGTATATCTCGTACAGCTCATCGCAACGTCGACTCATCCGTTGTTGACATCGTCCAAGCCTATGCACCATATAGCAGGACGGGAATTATGATAGACTTATAGAGTTTGGTTTCTGCTCATCGAGACTTTGCTTCTCTATTGTATGAATGAAT